AGCGGAACTGCAGGTCAGTCTCCTGTTGGATCTCTATCATTGCGTTGTACTGATGAAGCCCGTGATCTAGGTGTCATCGTAGCGAACAATTTTAAGCCTTCGGCACAGTGTCGCCATGCTGTCAATAAAGCGCGACACGAATTATTTCGTCTTAGGAGAGCGCTGAGTAACACTAAAGCAGAAGTATTCTTGCCGTTATGTAAAGTAGTGGTTAGGCCACATTTGGAGTATTGTGTTCAGGACTGGTCACCGTACCTCCGGAGTGACATCATTTGTATGGAAAAGATTCAGAAACTTGCGACCAGGATGACTGAAGGTCAACGAGAGAAGTCTTACGAAGATTGTCTAAGTAGCTTAGGATTCAAGTTCAAGTTCAGTCGAGACCGGAACGATAGGATAATCCCGTGAATGTTCCTTCTTTTGCGTATCGTCGGATCGGAAATTGACAGGTCTGCTTGAGATGTTGAAAAGCCTAAAACAAAGACCGCATCACACCCTGTCCAACCAATTACTGCCCACATTTTCCTGCCCAGCAGTCCCTGTCAGGCCAGTTTATGTGAAGTAAAAGAGTGAAGGGTAAGCTAAGAAAACAAGAGGAATGTCAGCTAAATAATGATAATACCAAGTTGAGAAGAAAATTAAAAAAGAACGAAGGGAAAGTTGAAGATACAAGTCGGTTCGGAGAAGGGGAAGGTTTGGTACTGTCACCCAAAAGCATCTAACTGACGCTCGAAACTCTCTACCGTAGACTCCTTAATCACGTGCGCCGGGAGCGAATTCCAAGGTTCAATAACGACGCGACAAGCGAGTTGCCGTCCTTACCCGGTCAGAACGCTGCTTGTGCAGCTTCAACAGGTGACCTCGGATACTAGGCAGCTTGGCGGGACTAAATAGCCAGGACAAGTCTGGACCGATCTTACCCGTTAAGATACGGTAAGTGAGGATCAAGTCTCCCCTAATTCTGCGGTAGTGCATTGAGTACATACCAAAGCTAAGCAAACGTTCGGGATACGTTTGCCCCCGTAATACTTACACTAACCTTGTGCCCACTCGCAAAACCCTCTCCAGTTCTATTTTGTCCCTTACAAGACAAGATGGACAAGCCTGGATACAGTACTCTAAGTGAAGTCGCACAAAAGCTGAGAACAGCTTCATAAAAATATTGGCCGTTAGGACACCGAAGGAGCGGCGAATAAACCACATCATACGGACCCTCTACAAGCAGCCTTCCTCCAATTTTCCCCAGAGTGAAGCAATGAGGTATGGGTGATACCTAGATCAACCTGCTGAATGACAACACGGAGATCACTTCCACCAACTACATAGCGCGTGGGGGGACTAGCACGTCCAATGCGGAGAACATTTCGCCTGATTTATGGGCATCAACCATAAGGTTGACCAATCCCAGAGCCTATCCAAGGCACTCTGAAGTACCTCAGAGCCGCCAGGAATATCCACAATATTCCAGAGCTTGAGGTCATCAGCAAACAATAGCGACGGTACTCCAAGCTCCTGAGGTAAGTCATTTACATAAATTGCGAAAAGCAACGGCCCTAGAACTGAGCCCTGCGGAACGCCACTAAGAACAGCTTGTCTAAGCGAAAGGCTACGCCCCACGCGTACACACTGTTCTCTGCCCTCTAGGAAAGCAGAAACCCATTTAAGGGCGGCTCCAGATAACCCATACGATCTCAACTTCAATGAGAGTCGTTGATGTGGGACAGTATCAAAGGCTTTCGAGAAGTCAACGAAAAGCACGTCGATGGCGTGACCGTTGTCTACTGTCTCAGCCCAGCTTTCACGAGCTACAAGTAAATTTGTCAGACATAAAAATCCCTTACGGAATCCGTGCTGTGCCTCACTGAGAAGGTCAAACTTAATCAGGTGATTCTCCACCGAATCCCTGACCAATTTTTTCAAACAACTTAACTACTACACTTGTTAAGCTGACAGGCCGGTAGTTCGTGTGCAGAACTCTGTCACCACCCTTAAAAATCGGACAGATGATTGGCTTCTTCCATTCCGAAGGTAAGGCACAGTTGTCGAGTGATACTGTAAACATGCATGTCAGAGGGCCACTTAGCTCAGCGGCCAATTCATGCATCAGTTTCGGATGAATTGAATCAGGGCCACAAGCCTTGGAAAAATTTAGCCCTTGCAATAGCCCGAAGACTTGTGTCTCCGTTATGCTGATTTCAGTTAGACAAGAATCCTCCGGAACTTTTGTGACCAGCTCAACCTGAGGTAGAGAGGCCTCAAGAGAAAAGACACCAGTAAACTGTTCGCTAAGTATACAGGCATTATCATAGTCGTATGCCCATGGGTCCCGTCCGCTCGTAGTAAAGCCGGTATAGACAAGTTTGTATCGCTACGTCTCTTTACGTAAGCAAATAACTTTGGATTTGCTACGGCTGCGTTAGCCAGTTCCTCCTCGTATTTTCCTTGGAACGGCGTAGGTAGAGGGGATTCGATAGAGACGTTTAAGAACATTAAGGGACTTAGTGGTATTAGTTCCACCCATCTGTTCGAGTTGGCTATGTTAGACCATCTGCGAGGCATCGCCTGAAGCTCAAACATCACAGAGCTCGTTTGGACATCAGGGCAAAGTTTTTTACGAACCGAGTAGTTGACTTCTGGAATAAACTTCCTTCTGATTTAGTGGAGTCTGAGACCGTAGAAGTCTTCAAAAGGGGCTTAGACGATTGTTGGTCCATCCTTTCTTCAGAGATATTGTAGTTGTACTGGAATATGTAGTGCATTTTGATGCTGGCATATGAAAGTGAAAAGATTGCTCTTGTTCTTGCTTCATTCCATTGCAGAAGCAAGAGGAGACAATTCAACGTCGAAATGCCGGGGACCGCTTCACTTACAGGCACAAGAACTGGACACTCGTTAGGCGGAAGCCTCTATCGTCCGTTTGACCTGATCTGACCTGACCGAGTGTGTAGGACTAGTTAATACTAGTCCGAGACGATGCGCGGAATTAAGCGCGGATATCAGAAGGCAATTGGAGTCGGACACAGCGGACTGTGTTCGATGGGCTACAACAAGAAGCGGATGGATGAAGCGAGGCAAGAGCGTACACGTGAGCGCGGGGACTTACAAGGCAGTTGTGTGTCGAGCCGGTTGTAAGATTAAAACAAGAAGGAGTAATGTACAATCGGTCAACAAGTAAATTGTACACGAAAGATAAGAGTTATCTTTTTGGGCGCTACAGAGCTCCCCCCCTAGAGGGCTGAACATAGAAAGCCTTCGAAATCGAAAAGGAATGTTGAAACCAGGTTCGTAAGGCGAAACCGTGCCGAGTAAAAATGGGCGTGCGTTCGTGTAAATGGGGGTTCGTCGGAAGTCGGAGTCCGCTGTGCCGTTTATGATTTGTTATTTATTGAATGCAGGGCAGGGTGCATTTCGGCGAGCCGTTGGAGCGGGCTTGTCGGACTACAAAAAAACTGGCTAGCCCAGAAAAAGGCCGACAGGACCTCAACCTCCGCTGCTGCCAAACGGTGCGCTTGGGAGTGGTCTCTCCCCCCACCGCACCCCGCCCCGCGCCGAAACGACCATGGTCCCACGGAGAAGCGACCCTCGTCTCCCGGAGAAGCGATCCTCGTCCCGCGGAGAAGTGACCCTCGTCTCGCGGAGAAGCGATCCTCGTCCCGCGGAGAAGCGACTAGTGTTCGCGTCAGGGTCCTCGAAAACATTCCTCGTGTGGGCCAGTCGATCGAAGGGGAGGGTTGGAGCATGTAAAAACGAGAAAATAGAAAAACACGCGCAGAAAACGCCAAAAAGAACAAACGAATGAGCTGCGTGTTTAAATATTTTTTGGTTTTTGAATATTTCTTTTCGAAAAAGGTTTTTCGGGGGTTTTTGATATTTTTGTTTGTTTTCAAAACGTTAATCGACCAAAAATGAGGCAAATATATACAATATCTACAAAGTTAAAAGTATTTACACTGTACATAGTCGGAGAAGCGAACGGGCTTACGTACCTCCCGACCACGGCGATTGGTCACGATAGGCGGCGGACTAGGTTCGGGTGATGTCGGGACTGCTGAAGCTTGCAGACCGTGATCGTGGTCTGGTTGGACTTCATTAGCATGCGGAACATTGGTACGGTGAGTTGTGACGTCGCACGAGGCACTACTAGACGAAGTAGGCGAGGTAGTTTCTTCCATAAAGGCGGATTTCAGACGGTCGATGGTGACGACTTCGTGTCGACCACCTCGGTCAATAGTGTACGCCTTACTCGCACGATGCAGCACCTTGAAGGGTCCTATGTACGGCGACTGAAGAGGCTGTCGAACACCGTCTGCGCGAAGAAGGACGTGTGAACAAGTAGACAGCTTCTCGGGCACGTACACTGGTGTCTTCTGCGATCGAGGAGCGGGTGGACGTAACTCACGCATCTGGTGAGCCAATCGATCAGTGTAACTTCCGTAGTCAATAGTGGAAGTACATGGGGCTGGTGCTACCAGCTGTCCGGGCAACCGCAGCGTGCAACCGTAGACTAGCTGCGCTGGTGTGGCGTCGAAGTCAGTCTTAACCGTGTTTCTTAAGCCTAGGAGAACGAGAGGAAGCGTTTCAGACCATGAAGGATCTGCGTGCGCACGTAGCGCTGCCTTCAACTGGCGGTGAAAACGCTCCACCATGCCGTTAGCGGCCGGATGATACGCTGTCGTCTGAACGTGGCGACAGCCTAAATCCTTAGGCAACGTGGCAAACGTTGACGAAAAATGTGACCCTCGATCGGTGATCACGATGGCGGGACAGCCGTATTGAGCTACCCAGCGCTCCATAAAAGCTTTCGCTACTGTTTCCTAAGAGCAGTTAGGTATGGGAATAGCTTCCGACCACCTAGTGAATCGATCGACACAGGTCAGTAGATATACAGAGCCTTTGGAAGGCGGCAGAGGATCTACGAGGTCGACGTGCACGTGATGAAAGCGTGCGTCTGGCGTCGGAAAAGTGCCTAATGGGCTTCTCGTGTGCTTGTGCACCTACGCGCGTTGACACGGAAGGCAAGCAGCTGCCCAGGTACGGACGTCCCGATTAACATTGCGCCAAACGAATCGTGCGGTTACGAGTTTAACCGATGCACGAACGCCTGGATGAGACAAGCCGTGCAACGAGTCGAACACGGTCTGCCGAAACTCACGTGGGACGACTGGGCGCGGCGTGCCCAGAGATAGATCGCAGAGTATGGTGCCGTCTGATGATGTCAGCGGAACGGGTCGTATGTCCAATGAGGGAGACCTGCGTAGTAGATCAACCTCAGGGTCGTTAAGTTGTGCTGTGGCCATGGCTGCCAAGTCGATAGCAGTGCCGGCGTCAGCGGAGATAGCCTGGATACGAGAAAGTGCATCGGCGACGGCGTTGTGCACACCTGAGACATGCCGTATATCGGTCGTAAACTGAGCGATATAGTCAAGGTGGCGCGACTCTCTAGGAGAGTATCGGTCGGTAGTCGAGCCGAGCACGTAAGTCAGGGGTTTGTGGTCGGTGAAGACGACAAAGGAGCGGCCTTCTAGGATGTGTCGAAAGTGACGTATCGCTAGATATACGGCTAGTAGTTCCCTACCGAACGTGCTGTAGCGAGATTCGGTAGGTTGTAGACGTTTGGAGAAAAAGGCTAAGGGTTGCCACGTGTCGGCTACGCGTTGCTGCAAAACAGCGCCGACTGCCACGTCCGAGGCGTCAGTACTGAGGGACAGTGGGGCGGCCGGATCGTGATGCGCTATAGAAGCTATGTTGGCGATAGCCTCTTTCAGCGACTTAAAAGCAGCGCTAGCTGCGGCAGAAAATTCGAATTTCTTGAGTTTCCCTCGGAGAAGGTCCGTGAGGGGTTGCATCAGCGAGGCGCAGTTGGGTATAAATCGTCGGTAAAAGTTAACAAGGCCATCAAAACGCCTGAGCTGTTTGAAAGAATGAGGCTCGGGGTAGTCGATGATGGCTTGAATTTTATCCTGCAGTGGCACGACGCCTGCAGAAGAGATACGATGTCCCAGAAAATTGACTGAATCGACACCAAACGAACACTTTTCTGCGTTGATCGTCACCCCGTGTTGAGATAAACGATCAAAAAGTGTTCGTACGTGGCGTATGTGCTCTTCTCGTGAAGAGCTTGCGATTAAAATGTCGTCAAGATACGCGTAAGCGAAGTCTAAACCGCGACAAACTTGGTCGATGAAACGCTGAAAAGTTTGCGCGGCATTCTTTAGACCGAATGGCATGCGCAGAAACTCGAACAAACCAAATGGAGTCGTCACGGCAGTTTTAGCGATGTCCGCCTCGGCTACCGGAATTTGGTTGTATGCGCGTACCAAGTCGATTTTGCTGAAGATATTTTTACCCGCCAGACTGGCGGTGAGATCCACTATGTGTGGGATCGGATAGCGATCAGGCGTGGTTACCGTATTCAAGGATCGATAGTCGCCGCAAGGACGCCAGTCCCCCACAACCTTCTTCGGGACCATGTGCAGAGGCGACGCCCATGGGCTGTTGGACGGTCTGACGATACCAAGTTGAAGCATGTGGTCAAATTCGGCTCGTGCTGCCCGTAGTTTGTCTGGAGCAAGCCGTCTTGGTCGTGCGCTAACTGGTTGACCGCGCGTAACTATGTGGTGAGCGACCTCTGTCGTGACTGGTGGAAGCTCTGCAGCCGGTCGAACCAGTCGCGGGTATTCGGAGAGGAGGCTCAAGTAGTCGGACGGTGCGTCTGCGATCCGAAATACAGGGCTGATTACCGGGGCATCTGAAAGGACACCATCAACACCTAGTTTCGTACGGTCGTCTAAAAGTCTGTGGCGACCAGCATCAACAAGCAACCCAAAATGTCGGAGGAAGTCGATACCGATAATTGCGAAGGGTACAGACGCAACCATGAAGACCCACTGAAAATCTCGGCGAAGATTGAGGTCCAGGTTCATCATGCGCTGACCGAATGAAGCTATCGGAGAACCGTTGGCCGCACGCAAATTGTACGTAGGCTTCGAGTGCTTGTCGCTAGCGGTCGCTGGGATGACGCTGACTTCCGCTCCCGTGTCGATGAGGAAGGTGATGGAAGAACGTCGATCCTTAACGTAAAACAGTCGGTTTGCTTGGCTATTGAATGATACGTTTGTAGTGCTAGTATGCGGGCTATTCGTTTTCCCTGGGTCGTGCCTAATGCAGGGAGCCCGACAACGTCTAGCTCTTCCACCGTATTGGCGGTGATACCAACATACTTCTTCGACGGGCTTGACATTATCTGACTGAGAACTTGTAAGGAAAATGTGGCGCTTTCGTGCCGAACGTGACGTATTCGGTGCAGGCACAGACGAGCCGCAATGAACGGTAGCCAAAACGTGGTCAGCATTTGACCGTGGCACACGCTGCTTCGAAGCCTTCATTGCTGCTATCCTGCTGCGAAGTAGCGCAATTTCCTCATCTTTAGAGTCAGATCGGTCTAGCGACTGGGAACAAACATGGGATTCGGTTTTCATCGGTGAGAATACGTCACCGGAGTTACTGGTCGTCTGCTGCGGAAAACGTTCGAACGCAGCGTCTGCCTTGATAGCTAAGTCTTTCAAGGGTGCATCTATAAACATGGACAGCATTACCGGCAATGGCTCTGGAGACGTGCAAACCACAGCTCCTTTATCCCTTCTTCGCTCAAGAATAAGGGACCAGCGATGCGCTGAAGTTCGCGGAGCAATGCCGACGGCTTGCGATCTCCAAGCTTGAGACCATTGAGCTGCTCAAATCGTGTTCGTGCGCTGGGTCGTAACTCTTTCAAAATCGCTTGCTTCATCGTTTCATACTTTGCCTCATTCGATGGGCAGAGTAGAATGTCCTCAATCAGCGTCACTACCGACGGAGGAAGGCGTGGGACGAGCTGATTGTACCTTGGACGGTCCGCCGTTATGCCCTTATTTTCTAGTTCGATCTCGAATATCTTAAACCAAACTTCTGGACTGTGTTCCATGAAACTTGGAACAGCCAAAGTAAGCATGGTTACGCTGTGAAACGACTCAGATGCCACTCTCGAAATGTGAGTCGAAAGATAAAGAACGAACAAAATACGATAAAAGTACTAAAATTACGCAAGAAACAAATGAATATAGGTATATAATCGAGAAAAAGGAACGAACTCACCAAAAAATACAAACGAGAAAAAATGTTGAATTCGCGCGTGCGAACCGGGGTCACCAATTTGTAGGACTAGTTAATACTAGTCCGAGACGATGCGCGGAATCAAGCGCGGATATCAGAAGGCAATTGGAGTCGGACACAGTGGACTGTATTCGATGGGCTACAACAAGAAGCGGACGGATGAAGCGAGGCAGGAGCGTACACATGAGCGCGGGGACTTCAAGTTCAAGTTCAATTTGGACAGGAACGGTAGGAGAATTCCCATGTGTGTTCCTTCTTCAATGCGTCGTTGAACCAGGATGGAGTTCGCGGGAGCGGCTTGGAGCCGAGAGGTGCCAAATCAATACACACGAATCACATAACGGTCAACCAATCAATGCCCACACGGCCTGCACTAGCAGTCCCCACTGTACCGGCCACGTGAATAGAATAAAGGTTAAGAGAAGGGAACCAACAAAAACAAAATAATGGTAATTGTAGTGCAGGAGAGAATGTGTGGTTAAGGCAATAATAGTAATAGATGTGAGAAGCCAAGGAAATAGATGTAGAAGTTAAGAACTAAACGGAAAGGTCTGAAACTGTAACCCAAGGGCGTCGAGTCGATGTTCAAACTCCTTCACCGTTAGTGCTAACACTACTTCGCTGAGTCGATGACCCTGCGTGACAACCGAACGTCAGCTCTAACGTGATCAGATCTAGGCTTATGCAACTTCAGAGGGTGACCACGAAGAGATGGCATCTGAGCCGGCTGGAACAGTCCAGTTAGATCAGGCCCAATTTTGTTGGTCAATATACGGTACGTAAGAATCAGGTCTCCCCGAAGGCGCCTATAGTGCAGCGAAAACATCTGCAACCTGAGCAGCCTATCGGGATACGAGAGATCCCTCAATCCTTGTACCATTTTCGTACCAACCCTCAGAACGCGTTCAAGTGTCATCTGTAGCAGTCTGGAGATTCCCCGGTTTGCTTGTGTAAAATTCCAACCAAAATTCTATAATTGTACACTTAGGCAACCGGTGTGGTTTGTTGAACTGCTTGCTGAGTTCGAATGCTTTACTTGCTCATCGCCATTTTTTCTTGGCGCTCGCTTCGGTCGCAACGCGCAACTGCTCTGTGTGCTGTGTTTGCTCCGTTCCCCTAGCTAGAGCGTCCACGGTGTCGTTCGTTTATAGCTAGCTAACAGGGAATCTTTTGCTGAACCAATAAAAGTTTCCCTGCAACTCGATCCGTCTTCTGGAATCGCTCTCTGGGCTCCCGGAATAGGCAAGCCTCTAAATTGGTGACCCCGGATACGGAACAATCTCAACGCCGGATATTTCGAACTTTTCTCCGATGAGCTCGTTCCATTTAATTTTCATATTTTCCGGTTTTATTTTTTTATACGGTAGCCTATTTTTTGCGTCATTTTTTCAAGCCATGGAATCTGTAGACCTTAAGGTAGAGTCTCTACTTAGTGTTGTATCTCTCTCTGTTCCACCTTTTTGGGACATGGATCCCCTTTTGCGGTTCGCTCTTCTTGAGGCTGAGTTTTATAACCACAGAATCACTTCCGACTACGCGAAGTATTGCAAGCTCCTGTCCTATCTCCCCAAGGAGATATCAATGCAGGTACGTGACGTCATCATTTCTCAGACCGAAAACCGCTATGAGGCTCTCAAAGAGGCCAAGGTCAAGCGTGTTATGACCTCTGAGAAAGTTCGCCTGCAGCAGCTTTTCAAGGATCTGAAACTGGGAGACAAACTGCCCTCAACCCTACTACGAGAGATGCAGCAACTCCTTGGTTCCTCAACCATGGACGAGACTTTACTTCGCGAACTATGGCTACAACGGCTACCGGAAAACACGCAAGCGATTCTCGCTACAGTGAGCTCCGTTACGCTCACTCAACTAGCAGATTTAGCAGATCGAGTTATTGAACGATCACAGCCACAAGTCGACGCCAGCAAGATCAATGTCGTCGCGTCCCAGGGCACTTCTATCACTGGCGTACAGTCAACTATAGAAGCCCTGCAAGCACAAGTTGCAACACTTAGTCGCCAGGTGCAACAGCCTACTATAACCCGTCGTCGTCCTAGCCCCTCAAAATCGCCCTTCAAACGTCCTCAGTCTAGCAACAGGCAGACTAGCTGTTGGTACCACCAGCGTTTTGGTACCGCAGCTCGTAAATGTGTAAAGCCTTGCAACTTCGACGAGATGCAGGGAAAACTTCGCGGCCGGTCCGTAACGGCGACGAACGCGACTGGCCAACACCAAAGTCGCCTCATCCGTGTTAGGGATTTAACTTCCAGCACCAAGTTTCTAATCGACACTGGAGCCGAAGTTAGCGTTATACCCCGTGGCCCACATGAGGTCGTCTCACCATCGCCGACCAAGCTGCGTGCCGCCAACGGCACACCAATCGCAACTTTCGGCGAAAAGCTGCTAACGCTCAACTTAGGCCTCCGGCGAACCTTTCGCTGGCCTTTCATAATCGCTGCTGTGCCTTTCGCCATCATAGGCATAGACTTCCTTCAACGCTTCGACCTCATCGTCGACGCTAAACGGAAGAAGCTTATCGACTCTAGGACACAGCTCAGTGTTATCGGGACCAGCGCCAACGTGGCTGCCATCACTCCCATTCGTGTCCTACCTCAAGCTTCACAGCCTTTTCTAGACCTTTTCAGCAAGCACCCTAAACTCGTTCGCGTCCTGAACGACTTGCCACCTGTGACGTCAAACGTCACGCATCACATCTGCACTAAGGGCCCACCTGTTTCGGCCCGCCCTCGCCGATTAGCCCCGGACAAGCTCAAAGCTGCTAAGGCGGAATTCGAGCAAATGCTCGAACTGGGAATCATCCGCCCGTCCAAAAGTCCATGGGTATCACCATCACACATGGTGCCTAAGAAATCCGGTGACTGGCGCCCTGGGCACTTAACAAAGTTACCGTCCCGGATAAATACCCTATCCCGCACATGCACGACTTGACCTCAGCTCTAGCTGGCAAGTCTATCTTCAGCAAAGTCGACTTAGTTCGTGCCTACTACCAGATACCTGTCGCGCCAGATGACATTGCTAAAACAGCAGTCATCACGCCATTTGGTCTATTCGAGTACCGCAGAATGCCTTTCGGCCTCAGCAGCGCTGCCCAAACTTTTCAGCGTTTCATTCATGAGGTAACGCGAGGACTCGAAGGTGTTTATCCCTAGCTAGATGACATACTCATCGCCAGCTCTTCTGACGAGCAGCATCTTCGTCACCTCGACGCTCTCTTCCAACGCTTAACCCAGCATGGGGTTACCGTCAACCCCGATAAATGCGAGCTTGGCCAGAGCTCCATCGACTTTCTTGACCACCGCATAACCGCGTCTGGTATTGAAGCTCTGCCAGACAAAATCCAGGCACTGAAGGACTATCCTGCTCCCAGTTCCTTCAAGCAGTTACGCCGATTTCTTGGCCTGGTTAACTATTATAGACGTTTTATTCCTAACTGCGCGAGCATTGTTCAACCAATGACTGACTTGCTCCGCGGTAAACAACGCCCTTTTCACTTTACAGACGACGTTAAATTGTCTTTCGAGAAGCTTAAAGACGCTATCTCCAACATAGCGCTTCTCGCCCATCTAGACACATCAGCATCACTCTCTCTGACAACTGACGCATCCGACACTGCCGTCGGTGCAGTTCTTCAGCAACTCATCGACCATCGATGGACACCTCTAGGTTTCTTCTCGAAACGTTTACAACCTGCCGAAGCGCGTTACAGCACCTTCGGTAGGGAACTGTTAGCTATCTACCTAGGTATCCGACATTTCCGTCACTACCTCGAAGGTCGACATTTCACCGTCTTCACCGACCACAAGCCATTGATCTACGCAATTAATGGCGCAACAGACAAGTATTCTCCGCGGGAAACCAGACACCTAGACTACGTTTCTCAGTTTACGACAGACGTACGTCATGTCTCAGGTGCTCTCAATCCCGTCGCTGATGCGCTTTCACGCATTCAACAGATCAGCTTATCGCCTAGCACCAACATTGATCTAGCCGCTATGGCTGTTTCCCAACAAGCTGATCCCGACATAAGCAAGCCACGACGCAACACCACTGAGACGATCACCATTGATCGACTCAAGACAGCATTCCTCGACAAGTCTGACTCGTTGGTGCAACAAGCACCTTCACAGCCCGTGCCATCACAGCCGGCACCGCAAACTCAGACGAGTCAGCCCGCTCCAGCAGAACCGACAAACACAACCGACAGCACTCCTACCCGCCCTACTCTCAATCGACGCGGTAGGAAACGCAAGCCTCCAGTTCGTTTTTCAGACTTTGTTCGCACTTACTATTTTACATAGAACGTGCCTTTAAAATTTGCTGCTCTTACTAAACGTTTTTGAAAATCCACAAAAAGAGACCAAAACGTTTTGAAACTACCAAAAAAGAGCAAAACTTTTTGAAAACCCAAAACAGCTTTGCACGTTTT